ATGGTCCTGACAAAGTGTTGTTATTTTTCGGGTCAATCAGAAATACAATTTGGCTGCCATGGCCGCTATTTTGCTACTAAGTTCTAATAGGCCGATCTCACTTAAAATTGGTCTAGGAATGATCAGCTCATGGTCCTGACAAAGTTAAGTTAACATTATACTATTTTTTACTCAAATTGGTATATATTTCAACAACAAAAATAAATACTATAGACTCAGGTGACCGTTAAGGCCCATGGGCCTCTTGTTTACAGTGTGTTTACATTACCTTATGATTTCCCTACACTGCCTTACAATGTCCATACCTTGTCTAGATCTTTTAATATTAACACGTTATCGTTCAATGTCTGTATACATGTATATTACAGGTTCGACTCGATGTCTATACGTTAACATACAATATACATACAGTATTTTTTCTATTTTTTTTTTTATGAATTTGTCCTTTTTTAAACCAAGACATGCATCTTCAAAGTGATTACAAGTGAAATGTTTCAAAACAGTATTATTCATATAAATGACAAGTTTATGAAATGCTCTATGGCTGGACTACTGTCAAAGAACTTATTGTACATTACCTCCCTTTGGCAGTTTTGATATTGGTCCCATACTGCTACAGGAGACACTTTCTGTGCCAGAGAGATGCTCCTCCTCTCAACTTGCTGATTTACTTGCTGTCCTCGGAGTGAAGCTGGTATGTACTTGGACTCGGCACTATTGCACCTGATTTTATAATGATAAGCAGTGTTTTCTCCAGTGAGGGATCCTCATTACACCCCCCCCCCCCCCCCCCAAAAAAAATATAGTATCCCAAGAAATTTCCTTAGGGTTGGTTTGTAAGTAAAATTTTCTCAAGTTTTTGTGGTTTTTTTTTTAACTATTTCATTCAACGTTTCAGTAAAATGACTGAAATACTATGTTTAAACATAGGATATGGTACATTTTGTTTGGTAACAGTATGCATAATAAATTTGTCTTAATTCCTTCTCAATTTCTTGGTATCTTTTTTAAATACATTTTTTTCACGTAGAGTTTCAAAATTTCTTGGAATTTCTAGGAGGGAGTGGTCCACAATTCCCTACTCCTTCTCTGGCATCCTCGATACTCCAGGTGTTACGCTCACTTACACTCTCTGCACCCTTGGAATATGTCATAGCAAAATTGAAAGCTCAGCGTGTGCCACTTTGTGGATAGTGCAAGTAATCTTGTCTGCATGATCCTTTTGATACATATATCAAAAGAAACGCGGGGCATGATAACAGTAACATTTACTGGTTTTGAAGTCGGGTGTTGCTCCTCTGTAATCTTCAAAGGACAGGTATCGACCTAGTGATTGGTCACGTTTTTTTACCACACTCTACTAGAAATTCCTAGAAATTTTGAAATTCTACCTATGTAACAATACCAAAGCCCCTTTTCTTTTTCAAATTGCAAAAAAACTTGCTAAATTAGGTCAACAAAAAATTTGTTTCAATTTTTTTTTCAAACCTTACTTGTAACCATCTTACTCAATTCGTTTTTAGCTATATATCTGAAAGAAAGTAGTTAAAACAGATACCAATAAAATTAGAAGAAAGAAAAATATATTATGCAAACTGTTCACAAGCAAGAAATGTACCAGATCCCATGTTTAAACATTGTAGTCATTCCCTTTACTGAAATATTGGTTGTGCATGTAATAGTTTAAAAAAAAGGAAATATAGAAATTTAACCTACAAACCAACATTAAGGTTTTGTTGTCTTACTTGGATTTTTATTTTTTTTGGAAGAAAGTAGATTTTAAATGAGTCTACAATGTAACTCTCTATTCCTAAGTAATCATCTCGCATATCTTCTGTTTGGTTTATAGATCTATTTGTGACAAAGGTCAGATATAGCGATTAGTAAAAGTTCAAATTATTTGTGATTTCTGAAAATTTACCATGTATTGGACATAATACATTTTGCATCTGAATTGACTGAAAACATTAAAAATGAGTTTGAAGTGTCTTGGTCAAGTTTTTAAAAATATTCATACTGAACAACTTCATGTACTGATGTGGTCCAGTTCTGAAGCCATGGATATATACAGGCCAGTTTTTATAGCCAAATATGGCTATTTTCCCCTGTCCAATTTTTGCATTATTTTCCCCTATTTCAGCTTTATTTTCCACTATACCAGTTAAAAATCCCCCCACTTGTAACTAAATACTACCACATGAATATCTGTCTTTGTGCCATTTTGTTTTTTATTTACTGACTGATTGATTTCATTTTCCATGTGCGCATGTTAATTGTCACTGCTGATATTTTACGACACTGTTTCCAGTTAGCCCTGTTTACAGTATACAATAACAATAGCGTAACAGTCACACAAACGCTTTATTCTAATGCATATCGGGTGGTCAATTTGAAGCGTCTATAATGAACAGCGAGAAACAAAAATTAAGGATGTCATCCATATATATATGCATGCCCCCCTCTCGTCCTCTCCCCCTGGCTCTGGCCTGTGGCCACCCTTCCTACCTGCTGGTCATTCACCCACAGCACATATTTTCCCCTATTTCATAAAAGGGTACTAACTTTCTATTGCTGCATTAATTCCTGGAAGCAAAAGTGAGGTTGGTTTCTGTCTTGGGGGAAAATTGTTTACATTCGTAAATGACATGTACACTTGATATGGTGTCAATATCATCATCTTATGGTAAAAAGTGTATGTGGAGAATTTTAAAGATTTTTATCAACAGAAATATGAGTACAAGTATTTTTCTGATGTATTTTACAATGATGTGAACAGAATTATTATGGAATTTTAAAAATCTGTTTGACTTCAATTATATACATGAAATGATTGTTTTCTTCAGATGTTAGCAGCTCTGTGTGATCTACCTACCCTAGAGAGACTAGAAATAGAGCAGTCATCTAGTGGTGTAACTTACGGTAAGCAGCGTCGACCTTCATGTAGTGGTATACCACCTTAAACTACTAAATCAAAATAGTATAGTCGGATAACCATGTGTGCTTAAATGAACCTAAACTGGGTAACCATGTATTTTTTTTGTGCCATGAAATACAGCCAACGATGGCCCTTTATTTTGAAAAAAACATGATAACTCAATCCACTGAATGCATAAACAAAGATAACTCAATACCTATTCCTTGTAAATAATGCTGTAAAATGTTGCAGATTCTCCTACATATCGCAAGCCTCTCGCTGGGGAAATTTTTGTAATTTCACTTTACACTCATGTGTTTCTATTTTCTACTTTTATAAAGTGTAAAAAAGAAGAAAGGTATAATAAATATATATATATTACAGCTCCAAAGATTACTCCTGGTATGGACCTTGTCGACTGGGAGAACTCGACTGTTTGTGACATTGATCGACAGTACAGAGGCATCATTGCAATAGTGAGTAAAGCTTCCGCCTCAGCATCCTCGATACTCCAGGGGTTAATGTTGAAAATTCATAAATGGAGGTGTTTTATACAGCTGCCTCTGTTTTTGAAGTAATTTAGATAGTTTGGATTTTCTAGCTTTTTGGCCATCGCAGATTATTCCTTTATTCGATGAAACAGCTGTATGATTCAGTGATATTGTTTTTTTGGTAGACTGTATATAATAATCAAGGGATTTTCTTCTATGTCTCCAGCTTAATGGACATTGAATAACCAAAAGTGATCTGCTGCCATCACTACAAATATTGGGATCTATCTCTTTTCTGCCTGCCTTCACTTCCATCTCTTTTCTGCCTGCCTTCACTTCCATCTCTTTTCTGCCTTCACTTCCCATCTCTTTCTTTTTTTTTGGCGGCGGCGTCTCCCTAGGCACCTATATTCAGCTGACCTTGGGTTTTGTGAGGACTTCAAACCCCAAAACAAACAAACAAAATCATCGAGATATACAGTGCATGTGGGCCATCTAAAATGTATAAAAGGGATTGTAAGCCTTTATTTTTGTTTCACAATTATAACTATTACTATTATCCATATGTTGTGAAGCGCTTTAGAGTAATTTTACAAATTATGAAGGGCGTTATATATAAATGTTGTATATATTATTATTATTATTATCTTGGATTTCAGAAACGACTGTCATGTTAAAACCTATTGGTACCAATGTATATTGCCTTCCAAGCATTTCAGGTTCCTATCTTGGTGCCGAAACATTTTCTAGGAAAAGTAATGGACATGTACCATTCAGATTATCACCAGGTGTTTTTTTTAAAAATATATTACTTATCAGAACTTTTATATAGTTTTAATGATAATAGGTTTTGATGATCTGTCCAGGTGACTACTGTATACCGGGAAACTTTCGCCGCAGTTTAACTTTCACCACTTTCGCCTTCCGATCTGAGGGCGCATTTAACATGACGGCGAAAGTTTAAAAGGAATTACGTATACGACGGCATATGTTTTGGCACTATTTCCTCTACACTGATGCTTAACTCAGGTACCGTATGTGATACAATTGGGGTCCAGTGTGTTCCACTGTTGGCGGTGTAGGGTGGATTTAACACTGGGCGAATAGGGACTCTGCCTGTGAAGGGCGAAAGTTTAATGGGGCAAAAGTTTCCCGGTATACAGTTGTCCTATCTATGCAGACTTCCCAGTACCTAACTGTAAATTGAAACCGTACTTCATTGAACAGGGTTTGTGGATAAGCATTGTTGTTTCAGATTGTATACTACATAGTTAGTATCCTATGAAATATATGTGGGAGGGGGATGAAGGAGTCACAACACCCAAGAACAGTTCAATAACTTTAATGAGATCTACATGTTTTGAATTGCTATGATTAACAGAGTACAGAATGACAGAATGAAGTACAGAATGACAGAATGAAGTACAGAATGACAGAATGAAGTACATACATTTGTATATGCAGTTACACTACATGACTATGCACAGAGGCACGATAGTCTAGTGGTAGGACGCCGGGCTCGTGACCGAAGGGTTGCAGGTTTGAGTCATGGCACGGCACTGAGTTGTATCTTTGAGGAAGATACTTTACTCCGCTTGTTCCAGCCTACTCAGCTGTAAATGAGTACGTGGTTTGGCAGTGCTAGAATTGTTGAATGTTAGCTGTGAGCGCCGAAATGGCAGCACTGGCTGTATGCTCGCCAGGGAGTTGAGAAAGATATTGGCTGGTTGCAAAGGCCCTATAACCACGGATAATAATTTGTGAACCGCTTTGAGACGACCTAGGAACCTCCAATTATTATTATGACTTGACATTGTGATGTCACCCATATTGTGACATTTTAAATAATATCAACTCATTAGTAGGTTTGAAGATACTGGGATGGAAATACACCATATACACTATATACAACATTTTCGCTGTTCCACATGGTTTTAGTTAATTTGTCCTGAATGTCTGTTTATAGTTGACATGCTAATGCTTTGTATTGGTGTGTGATATTCTGTCATGAATTAAAAATTTGGTACTGACAAGCAAAACTGTCTTCCTTTTTCGAGTCTAATGAGAGATATAGTATCTATGCTGTCTTTCAAATCATATGATTTGTTAGTAAGGAACTCTACAGAATCTATTTACTGATCCAACAAGAATGATGCTGAATTTTTCTACATTAGAATGTTAGATTATCCCCCACACTTTATTATAGGAAATAAAACTTAGGAGAAAAAAGTTAACTTTATATTTATAATTTTACATAAACCAGCAAATTTATCGTTTTTAGCTCACCTGGCATTAAGTCCTCATAAGCTTGTATGGTTATTTAACATTTTGGGTGGTTTGGTGGTGCAGTTGATAATTATAATTAATTAGAATCAACACGAAGTTTGTTCAGGAATAATCTGAATTTTTAAAAATCCATTGCTATTCCAAACACAAAGATCTCTGGTTGCAGATAATCTGATTTTCACTGAAAACACGAATTGTCTGTCATTTGAAATTCATCCAAACATTTTCATCTTCGGTCAAGTGTTATATTTGATTTGTCTTATGTGGCTCTAAACACAAAAAAAACAATTTCCACAAATCGTTTGCCTCTTCCCCCTCCCCATTTTCTTCACGACAAACAACAGCCAAGTTGCTGGTAACAGAACATTCTGCTATTTTGATTGGTTCACAGATACCCATCTTCCTGTTTGTTGTGTACAGTACCGATCCAGACTAACACAAAAAATATCTTGTTGCAGAATTTCCGATGCCTGAAACGTTATTTACTGCTCATTACTCAAAAGTAGTTGATCACAAATCATTGTATCATTTTACAGGCAATCCCATTTAAAAAAACACTAGTGTCAAATCTCATCATAGTCACCACGGTGTGACTAACACATTATAACTATTGTATACAATGAATGATATATCTTTAAGATACAATATGTCTCTATAGGACAACTTTCTGTGTAACGTCATCAATGTCATTCAAAATGTTTCCTGCCTCTTTCTCCATTAAGGTTTTGGTTGTGTATAGTCTGATATGTCCTAACAGCACAAAGTCTTTGATCCCGATAATTTCATGTAACGTTATCATAACATGCTATGGGAACAAACATTTTAACTTCAGTCTTTATTTTTTTGAAGTATGACATAATAATAACGCGTAAAACTGCTGTCTCCATGATGACGTGATTCTATTTGTTAGTTGTCTTTATAGTACTTGAGGAGTTTTACCTCTCCACCATCAGACTGTGCCCATAGCACATTTCCAGGCTCCATACCAATAGCTCCTTGTTTTCCGGTTTTGTGCAGGGTTTTGATGTATTGGCCCAACCCACTGATCAGTTCTATGGTATTGCGTTTCCAATCGCCTACAACCAGGTTCCCAACGGAATTGTACACAATGGTTCCGGGACCAAATTTGTCTGGTGTAACTGTTTCCTCACCCTGGATGCCGTATCCTTTGTATGTGAACAGGACTTTCAGTTTTCGGTCATGCACAATGATATGCATTGAAGCCTCTTCCCCCTCTCCATATTCTTCACGACAAACAACAGCCAAGTTGGTGGTAACAGAACATTCTGCTATTTTGATTGGTTCACAGATACCCGTCTTCTTCCTGGTTGTTGTGTACCGTACCGATCCAGTTGGTGAAAAAACTGTCAACCTGTTCAATGTACCGACAACTACGCATTCATATTGTGTGACGCATACACTCAGAGCCTCTCTATCAACTTTGAATATTTCGACGGGTGAGGTTGATATTCCTACATAGACGGTTTTCTGACTACAGAACCAGACTTCCTTTGTGATGGGACAACGACTGATGTCTTAAATTTCCTTGTTATGCTGCATCTTCTCTTTGACCTCGCCGTTTTTGTCAAGAAGAAGAATCTCACATGTGTTGTACTGTGGAATCATCAGTGAATGCCCTTCTCTTGTGGGGTGGACCGATCTGACAATCTGTGCGAATGGAAACTTTTCCACTACTGTCGTTTCAGTGAGCAGTTCATAGTTTGTAGAGGTAAACGTTCCAAGGATGTATTTCAAGTCATACGTAAAGGTCATACCAGGGTAGAACTCGGCTGTTTGTATGTAATATTGGTTTTTCAGGAACTGGGTCGTTGCCTTGTGCGTCATATACTGCATCATACATGTCAACCAGTGAACCTGCTTGGAGAGTTTTCTTGCATTCCTTAACTTCCTGAAATAGAACATCATACTGGGTTTGTTGTATTTTCTTCTGCTGTGAAAAAGCTCCATATTTACATGTTCCATTTTTTTACATAAAGATGTCCATTCCAATACCACACCATCTATTTCCTGTTTACACTTTTTTCCTCGTTTTTTTATTTTGACACACAGTTTTTTGAACTTGGTACCATTTTCCTCCAGTTGTTTGTCTGTTGTAAATAAATCCAGTTTGAGTTGAGGGAGTGTGTTATTCTCAGCATCTTTGACAAAGTCATGCATGGAATTGTCTTTTCAGCTACAACTCCAGTAAATTCCTCGAGATTGTGCGGCTTGTGTATAGACTTGATGCCACATGTTGTAAACACGAGTGTTTTACAATCAAGGCAAACAAAGAACACATCCTTCTGCTTGTGATGTAGACACTTAGAACTTCCTTTTGGTCGTACAGGCTCCTGGAAGTTTCCTGACTGAGGACTGGTATTCATTTCTAGATTCTCTTTCATCTGCTCGCCTAATATTACGCCTGCCCTGACACACGTTAGTCTGAGTAATGATGTGAATAGATAAAGATATTATCACAATACACGTCACGCGACTGACATATCTTTTATATTTCAGATGCCCCTGAGGAGTAAATACGATGGTGAACAGGTCAAGCTGTATGACATGATCCCGATCAATGCAATACCAGGTACTTTATCTCATTTTAATGGGATGTGGTTTTCTTATTGCAGAAGATTACCCCTTTCTTCCTATTTTCCCCATAGTAAAGTTTTCTCCATTCTAATTTATATAATCAAAACCACCAAAAGAAATGACGATTTAAAGATATTTTGAGTGGTTTTTTTCTGAGCCATTCTGCTGTGGAGTTGGTGACGCCAGGAATATTCAATGTGCAGCGGGGTTATATTGACTTTTCGGGGCCACGCTATTGTTTGTGATGTCACGGATGATTAATTTCATGACGTATTTGGGTCAGTCGCGGTCATTGACGTCATAACCAATCGCCATCCGGGCTTCATATGCAAAATGAGAAATTTGCGGACGGTATATCGTGTTTATACTGTCGCAAATTATGTTGACTGACCAATCAAATGTCGTGTTATATCTCAAATAAATTAGAATTTGACTTATATAACCTCAGTGGTTCATGCTTAACATTTTAACTTATATTACTTCTGCGGTTCATACTGAAAACTTTCACTTATATAAGCTGTGTAGATTATGCTAAACAGTTTGAATTCGTTACCCCGTTGATGTTTACAGATGATGTGATAGATGAACGAGTCCAGAGACTGTACAAGGTCACTAGCTCTACGATGGTACCTCCAGGGCGGACATTGTTCCTGAAACACCAGCAGTGTGTACTTATCAAATGCAAGGTAAGCCATACGACGATGTTGCCAATAATTCACGGCGGAACAATAAACCTGGTCAACAGCTGAAATGCACAATCACATCTTTTGTTAAATGTTAAACAGTTAAAGGGGTTGGTCGGGGAAAAAATGTCATATTTGCTAAAATGGCATACACATGTTTAAAATACCTTCTTATGAAATATACCGATACAAATTTTGCTGAAATTCACTCCCTTAGAGTAAAAATTATAATTATATTAAAGAAATCCTAAATCGTCACCTGACAGTCTAAAACTCTCAATTGACCCAGATCAGTGATGTAATTTTACCGCACGCACGTCATCAACAAGGCCAAATGTAAACATTGCGGCGAAAGAAAAAGATGCATGCAAAAGTCATGACAGGCACGAGGTATTAATACCGTTATATACATTGTATAACAACAACATATAGGTAGGAATACTACACTTGCATCAAACATGATCTTTGAAAACAATTATTTACGTATAGTATTGCTGTCTTGTCCGCTAGTTGAGTCCGACATGGCACATGACGGCGTGCTATTGTTATCTTCACTGCCTCACTTTCGAAACAACCACGTGACATATATAAATAGATCTGTGCAAAATTTACCCGGGGCTTCCCCGAGATTTCAGTGGTCAAAACTGGACATTACAAGCAGAACTCATATTGCCGTGGTATAACTTTTGGAAGGCCAGAGAACGCATTTAGACCCATTTATTTTGTATTTTTTTCCCCGACCAGCCCCTTTAAGGTATTTAAACTCAGGTCTCCAAAAGTAAACTATACAAGAAAACTTACTAGTATATAACGTTTAACATCGACTTATACAGAAAGAGCCTAGGATGGACGATCGGTTTCTGGACACCATACTATTAAAATTAGCTTCCCCTGTTCTCCGTTTTCTTATAATACATGAGTTAAAATGATCCCTGATGTGTAACAGACAAAAAATGCTACAATTGGTCAATTGCCTTTACGTGCCAATATTTTCCCGGGGAAATGTATCCTACATACTTTTTGACAGATGTTATTTGTTTTAGGATGGATGGGTCGGATTTCAAAGGATGCGAATGAATAAAAAGATGACAGCCCAGGCTTTCTTCAATAAGCTCTTGACCTTACCAGGAAGCGAACACAAATACTTTGAAAGTCAGACCAATACATTGCAAACCGATACAGACAGTGATATCCCAACGGCAACCCGTGTTCAGAATTAAACTTTGTCTTTTCACATTTATTTTCGTTTGTAAAATGGCGTTGGATGTAAATATGTTTTTGCTGAATATTTTTCATGAAAGATGTGATAAAAGTGCCACGCAAATCGTAATTTGAGAGTGTTTGGATAATTTATTAACCATGTTACAGACAAAAAGTTCAGATTTTGGTAACTAGAAATGTCTTTGGAATCTTTATATATTTATTTGAACATGTACGTGATTTAATGTTGTTATCAATTGATCACATTTAGTGATAAAAATATCGATATATTTTACACAAAATATTTTCCAGAGATTTCAGTCTTGGAAAGAAAATTTCGTATAAAACTGTTTGAAGAATAAATTTTCTGTGTTGAAAAACCTTTTTTTACTGTCATAAAAAAATAATTTATAAGAGATTCTCACTTTCTAACTATAATTGATATATTTAAATTTCATGATAGGATTTATTGTTAAAACATGCTACAATATATTTACATATACTCTGCATCCTCCCAGTGCATTTCATAGAGAAACATAACTGTCAATTGACTTTTAACCGGTTTAATCAGGTGACCAATATTGTGACGTATTCGATCTACTGTTGACAACACGAACTACGCTGTTCCAAGAACTTTACGAACTGATGTTAGGAGAACGAAATAACTAAATATAACATAGATTATATTCAAATTTCTTCCCTCTTGTAGGCAATAAATGTCCAGGCGTATACACAGGCCCATAACACTGAAACATCCATTGCTTAAATAGCATCACGCATTTGCCTTGACGTTTATTGCTTACAAGAATGAAGAAATTTGAATAGAATATATGTTAATTAACCGTGGTTCATATGTCGTATAAATCATACAACTATGTGGTGCTCATATCAGAAACAATTCAAACTGAAAGATCATATGTCTGGTTGCTGTGTTGCCAAAAAACCGTCTAAAGCTTGCTATAATTTTCTGCTAGCCCCATTGAAAATGCCCAAGTAAACCACAGAAAATCCCGATATCTACGGTCGCTTCATTTGGTAATGGAGTGGGATATAATGTCTATTCTTTCCCCATTGCCTACACAAGTGACTCGCATGTTACCCACTATAAAATTAACGTATTAAATGAAAGAGGAATGATAACTGTTTTGATTTTATCAGAAGAAGTGCAGAAAACCTGCAAAAGTATCGCATCATTTTTGTGCAGTCTACACATTCTTTAACATAAACAAAATTAAAATGCCGCGCAGTCAACTTGGATATTTGCTAAAACAAAAATTGGGAGACTGAAATTATCGATCTGTTTTGATACTTTTTCACAGTGTGTGCATTGGACGTAGTCTTATACACATGAATGTTGATTTATATCATGACTGTAATGGACAAGCAAACAGGAACTCTTATCAGGTGTAATAACATATATATCTTTCTACTAGTAAAAAGACAATGACGACCTGTTAAAGCTAAGGTCAAGGTCGTCCATGCTAATATCAAGTCCACAGACTTCGAAACATGTACCGAGAATAAAGCTTCCTGGTCCGTGAATCAAAACGGTGGAAATATTGACATTGAAAGATAATTCTATAGATATAGATTCAATTGCTTGTCTGGATTGTAAAACACGTATGTGTACAACATTTGGCATCAAGTCTATACACAAGCCGCACAACCTTGAGGAACTTACTGAAGTTGTAGCAGAAAAGACAATTGCCATGCATGACTTTGTCAACGATGCTGAGAACAGTTCTCTCCTTCAACTTAAACAGGATTTGATGTCAACTGACAACCAACTGGAGGAAAACTATCATGTTCAATGAAATATGTTCTAACATGCAAAATCAAGGAGATTTTTTTTCAAGAAATAGATGACTTAATAGCACAATGAACTTTGATATGCCAAGATATGGAAAGGGTAAACATGGAACTACTTATGCAACAAAAGAAAAGGAAACAAAAAAGATATGACGTTCTCACTCAAGAAATTGAAGAATGTAAGAAAGCGCTCCAAACAGGTTCACTGGTTGACAAGTAGTATACTGAATTGACACCTTAAGAAACGTCCCTACTCCCAGTTTACATGTATTACAAACAGCAGAGTTCTCTTCCCGGAAGTTCGTGATGCCTCACTTGACGCGAGCTCTTGGTACATTCACATCGTCGATCTACAACCTGCTGGACGAACCGACAGTGATGACAAAGTTCAAATTATCAGAGCTTTTCCGGTCAATATGTCCTACACCCGAAGGAAACGCATTGGCGGTTCTCGAGTACAACAACGGCTCCGTACTTCTGTTCCATAAACTTGGTGGTATTGAAGAGGAGATGAAGCATGACGCGGAAATCAGAGATGTCAGTCTCGATGTCCGGTTACAGAACAAATCTGGTTCAGCGGTCAGCAAACCGTCTTTGTCGCAAAATTAAATGTCAATCGGGAGATCGGGAGTATAAATATTACAACCTACAAACTGGTCTACACGTCAAATGGGCAACATAGCCTCGGTGAGCTGGGAGGAAAGTAGAAAGCAGGAGAATACAAGCCTGAATAGGTACACAATGCACATCATTGTTTACGACCGAAATCTCAAAGTCAGTTTCATTTACAGATGATACGACATCCAGAGTAAGGAAACAGTAACACCAGACAAATTCGGACCAGGAACCGTCGTTGTAGGTGTTTGGAAACACAATTCCATAGAACTGATCAGTGGGTCGGGCCAATACATTAAAACCCTCATATACAACGGACAACAAGGAAATATTGGATTGCAACAAGGTCACAGACGGACGATTAGGAGAAACAACTCCTCAAGTACTACAAATAGGATTGACAGATAAACATTGTACATGAAATATTATATCAACAGGCACACGTGATCACAGGAACACTAGGTTTTCACTTTAATACATCTTGCTTTAAGTTACTGGAAACATGCATTTTTTTATGTAACCACGAATTTTGATATTTTGTGTGACATTGAATGTAAACGTAAAGGAAATATGAACAGTCACTTTGAATTTTAGTAAATTTAGCAAGTGAATACAGAGTACATCCAGCACATTCAGAAACTGACACAAAAAGAAGAAGAGAAAATAACGGAGTGTAAACAAAACCTTAATTTGATCTCAAAATCTAGAGCAAAATATGATCAAAGGAAGATTTACATGATGACTCCTGACACAATATAAGGAGAATAAGACCAGGTGTCCCAGAAGAGTTGAAGTCATTTGCTTCATCGAAGACACACGTCTTGTCACGTCCTTATGTATGTTTTCTTCCCGATTACCACCATCAAATTATGTACAGGATAGACAATATGCATCAAGTAGAGAGAAATTACGTAAAAGCGATGTGATTTGCAAAATGTTATCAGAAACGTGTTTGGAATACCAATGTGCATAAAAAACATCAGAAAATACGTGACTAGTATCAATGAAAACATAACATCTAACAGATAAAAAACGGACCAAAAGATAAATGCGAAATGTATTTGGAGAAGCTATGAACACAGGAAACGACAAACAATTCCCTTAAGGAAACTTGATTTGTTTTTATAGCAATGGAAAAATCAAACACCAGACTTTCGCGACCAGTAGTCAGAGCCCTGCGTGCTGGAGTGGCAAGGACAAAAGATGATTCATAACCAGAGAATTTTTAGATTTGAGTGGCAATGCACAAATAAAAAGGACGGTTCGTCCCAATACAATTGATATCCAGAGATTTGTAGTGGCAATGGACATGTCGGAATCCATAACTAAAGGATTGTAATCAGGGAGTCAATGGACTTAATACACTACGGTACGATTCTGAACCAGAGAGATCCGTATATTTGGAATGGCAATGATTTGTTACCCGTAACCACCAGACAATTGTGTCATCAGTTCATTCGTTATCCGTGACCAGGGATTATAATGTTTAATGTTAACGAGTTCCAATGAACATTTAAAGCATCCTATGTGTGTAACCAGACATTTGTGTATTTTGATTGGCAATGATTAGGAACCCGTAACCAGGGAATTGTGTTTAGTGTGGAAATTGAAATGTCAAACATCGTAACGATTTCTGACAGAATTCTTGTTTTTTCGATAAAAGTCACGGGGACTTATTTGTAAGATGACGTTCTTGAACGTGTTTTATGCTTAATAGTTCTGCTGATATACATTTCATAGTGTACTGCAACGTTGGCTTTTAATAATAAGCATGTGATTTATATTTATATATATATAAATACTGGGCCCGTATTCATAAAAAAATATCATGATGAAGCATAGATTTTGTGCTCAATCTAGCGTTCTTATAGCCCCCTGCAATAGTGTCAATTGATCAAAAAGTCAAATGTAAACATTGAAAACAGTATTAGGTATTGACTGTATTTAGGTCTCTTCATATCGTTTTCCAAATCATTGACAAAATAAGATCTTCTTTGCCGTCAAATTTGCCAAATTTCAGGGTGGAATTTCCCTATCCTACACACTTGGGCATGCAAGAGTATTTTTCTCTCATTCCAACCACCAGAATAAGCTCAGAAACCATGAAAATGCGTTTGGACTGGCTACCATTTTGAAAATATCAATTTTTCCCCAGAGCTTTTTTGACGAAAACTATTTCGTCAGCGACATTAAGCATACCCTATATTTGCTAACAGAGTTTCCGGAGAAAAAAATAATTTCCTCTTTCAAACGTGTACGGTAAATATATCGTTAAAGGTTTTAATTTCATCACGTTGCCTTTTACGCATTGCGGCATCGGTATTTCCAAATTCGTGACGCCACGTCATCGTTGAGACATTATGACATCACGCTCATGTAAGATAGACTCAGCAGGCATGATTATCTTACATGGCCAACGTTATCTTACATGACCGGATATGAGAGTAAAGCTCATCTCTCTTGGCCAAATTGGGAGACTTACCTGTGAAGAGTTGGAGAATAAAACAGGTAAGACCTAATAACAATGCCCCAGTGTCATAAATATTACCTGATATTACCGGATCCTACGTTGTTGGAGTTGGAAAGGCCTTCCATGATGTACAAGGCTCACAGGAGAAACTCTTTACTGAAACGTCTGTTCCGTTTCCCGATAAATCTGAATGCAGACTAACCATTACACCAAAGTGCACTAGTAAAACACTATAGCCTTGTACAACTGGTGTATTTCACCAACAACTCCAACAAAACGTATGATTGCCTGAGTGTCTTTATGTAAGCTAACATCATCATTGTCTACTTGAACTTCATTATCTCATTACTTCTAGGTTAACTAATAATATCAAATACAAACGTAGGCCCATTTTGCCTGATATCGTCTTTTAACCATGGAAAATTATAAGTAGTTATTTTTGCATCTATGACTTTTTTTTAATATCGACGAAAACAAAGTTCATTTTCAAAGAAATTCATTGAATATGATTTTATACTCTATTGTTATTTTATGTTGGTGGCGATTTTCGTGCTTATTTGAAATGTAACAATCAGTATTTTTCTGTTAATTGGCAGTTTATCTTATTGTTTTTTGTATCAATCATCTTTAAAATTATTGTTTGAAGTTAATAATGTGTATATTCAATAGAGATCGCACACTTTTTCACGATCCCACATCTATACCTATATACACTAAGGTCTATAAACTTTGTCTTTTCCAAGTATAGGAACCCTTTTAAACTGTAGAAAAAAACTATAGAGCTATACAGTAGGTTTCATTAATGGAGTTACCTCCCCATAATTTTTGTTTTGGATGCAACTGTTAGACTGGACCAGGGTACTACAAATTATTCACTCACCTTGTTATAGTGCTCGGAGGTCCAGGGTTCGAATCCTGGTCTGGCTGCGTTCCATTCTTAAAAAAATGCATGTTTATTTTCCTTAATTTTGTTTTGGTTATTGTTCATAAAGTTCAACAAGGCATGTGTGTCTATTGAGAAATAATTTGCTAAAACTACTTCATCACAATAATATGTTTTAAATTCATATTCTGTATGTCTGTACTGTATCGCGGGTATCCACGAGATGGAACTGTGATGGAAGTGAAGTTTTGAGCCGAGATACGTAATGATATATATAATTCACAACAGGGGAACGCATTGCTATCTCACTTCCAGTTTTTGAGGGGCTAAACTGTAATTTCCCTCGTCATCTTCCTCCTATGGAATTCCCAATCCTTCAGGTAACTATATAGGATTATAACAGTTAATAGTTATTTCTCAAGAGTTACTTGACAGACCTTTCACAAATTTCATATGAAGATTCCAAGTTTTTATTCGTAAATTGAGGGATATTTCTGACATTATAGAGGGCCGGAGTTCTGACGTTAATCGACGACAGACCGATATGAAAAAGTCGATAAAACATCAGAATAATTCGGACTAGATTTAAACTATGAAGCACACACATGTCTTGTGATAAGAGCTTTAAATGCACAACGTATTCAGTAATTTAAATTCCAGTGAGTACCTTTGTTGTCAGACTGAAAGGCGACACGCGTATATACATTGTTTCAAATCAAACGCAAATTCCATTCGGTTTAAAGGTCGTAAAAATATATAAAGACAATATATAAATAGACAGACAACAGACAGGACATTACGTCAAACCTCGGTATGAATACAGATAAAAAAACACCTTCCTGGTTTATTCGACAAAATGGCTGAACAGTAGATATTGATACACAAAACGAGATATGGCTGCTGCAATATATGGCTCTCACCAGGAGACTGTCAGACAGAAAGGTAGTACGAAGTGTCCCAACCACAGAATGAAAGATGTTGTGTATGTTTGTCAGGATTGTAAAATTCTTATGTGTACAACTTGCTGTATAAAATCTGTTCACAAGACTCACAACCTGGAGGAACTTAGCGTCGTTGCTCAGGAGAAAAAAACGGTCATGCTGGATTTCGTCAACCTATCAGAAAAGAACACACTTCCTCATCTTAAAGATGACCTCATATCAAAAGAACACCTAATGACAGAAACTTCTTCAGAATTCAAGACAGTTTCCTCAAATATGAAGCTCCAAGGTGAAAAATGTAAACAAGAAATAGATGAACTGATAGCAGGCTTCACTTGTATTTGTGATGAAATGGAGGGAAGTAATTTGGAGTTATTACGACATCAGAAGAAAGACAAACAACACAGATATGATATTGTATTTTCAGAAGTAGAAGAATGTAAGGAGGCTCTACAAACAAGCACAGATGTTGAGATATTTGACACTGACTTTGATACACTTGGGAGTTACACAGATACCAACCCACCTGTATTACAAACCTGCCAATACACACCTTGTACAACAATCACTGATCATCTCAAACAGGCAATCGGTAAATTTACCACAGGTTCTACCGGCCCTTCACAAACACTCGTGGCTGCTACATCCACCATCGACACATTAAACCAATGTCAAGGGAGTTCTGCTGGTCACACTGACATCGAGAAAGCATGCATTCACGCTGGGAAGTCAATATGTCAACCTCCTTTGAATGAACTACTCGATAACTCAATTATTATATCACAGTTTCCAGTCTCAGCAGCAGCTCTGTCAATGAGTTTAACACCAGAAGGTAACCTCTGGATACTGGATGATGGCGGGGAATTAGTGCTTCAGATCAATGATAAAGGTGAAACAAAACAGAAAATTGAACTTCAAAATATTATCTATGATATATGTGTGTCCCTTGAAACGGGTCGTCTCTGGTTCTGTTGTGATGATAGAACTATATATGAAATACAAGAACCAGCCACACCTGTACCACAGTTCAAAACAGACGACAAACCATCTTGTCTAGGCATTACCAATAGTGGTGTAATTGTGGGTACAGAAAACAGTTTATCTTTACACACAGTCACAGGATCTGTTCTACACACTATCACGAAAGCGGAACAATCAGACTTCTTACCACCATTTAAAATATCCAGCTGTTCAGTGACAGGAAACATAGCTGTGGTACACATTATAGATAACGAAGAGAGTGAAGAATTCCCATATAACTCAACAATGCATATCGGCGTATATGACAGAACCCTCAATCACCTATTTGACTACAGAGGGGAAGGGATCCAGGGACAGGAGCCTGTTACACCAGAAACTTTCGGTCCATGGTCAGTTCTCTACGATTCCTTTGGAAACCTGATTATAGCGGATGTGAAGGGGCATACAATAGAATTGTTAACTGGGACTGGCCAGTACCTGAGAACATTGGACTCGGGTGAAGAATATAAAGGTGCGATAAGCATAGGGTCTGGGAAAACACTGTGGTCACAGATGGAAGATGATGAGGGACATATTACAATTAAAATCCTCAAATATTGTAAGTGAGATAGCAATGCGCTCTTCGGTTGTAAATAGTTCATATATTTAGAGTCTCTGTTATTACAGTCAAATCTATCATTGATCGCTCTCGTTGTTGTCAGTCCGGCAGAACAGAAGACACAGTAAACAATTGGTCAAAGGAATGACCTTAATGACCTTGGATGTAGGTTAACAATCTGTTAACGTGTCCCCTAATGATATTATGCAAGTTAAGTAAAAAATGACGTGTCACCTTGTGATAAGTATCAGTTACTGCACCAATGGCCATCTTGGTGGTGTGCAAATCTTCGCATTGTGTAACTTAGCGCGATAATTTCCAAACGCGAATATTTATTTATAGGTTTTACATATTATAGATCAATAAAATATATCCCATTTCCATTTTACAGTTATCGACAGCTTATTTGTCTGCTTTCTGATCAATTTGATTAATTAGTTAATCTCTTTATTGTTAAGTGTTATATATCTGAATGATTTGTTGTAACTTTCCGTTGACTTTTCCGTTACTTGATCAAAAAAAGTTAACTGAAGATTTAACCGTTTGTGCATTATCAGTGTAAGCTATCTCAATGTTGACATATGTCCTAACGACAATTGTAAGTAAACAGACAATTGATTTGTGACTTGTCCCATTCAGTGCATGTTATCTAACTATCTGTGTGTTCTCCAAAACGATTTCATTAGTTTTAAAATCCATATTGTATATATATAATCAACACACAATCTAAGGTACTAATTGTAACACATTTAAGGAACAGAACATACCACTGACCTCGCTGTCAGTTTGTCATTATGATATCAATACGTTGTCATTTAGATGATGCATTGTTCTAGATTAAAATGTCTAGTCGTGAATATATTTGCAAAGAAAAATGTTGTGATATCGTTTTCATACTGTACACACGTACAGACGTACGTGTTTTCAATGTGGCTTTTTATTTAATGCCAGCTGACTGATTATCCTGCACTGTTAAACATAGAACTGACAATGTGTCGTTCACAATAACTAGGCTATGTTGATGTTTATTTTATTACCTCACAACATCTTACGAAGTTATGACTCTCAATTATTTTTCCCAAATCACATACATTATTGTTTTTATGTACTATACAGAATTATTGATACAGTCTATTTGATGAAAGCATTTTTTTTTTCTTATGTTAACTCCTTTTACTAATTGGTTTAATTTATTCTATTGTCAATGTCAATTCGAGTTTGTCTTTTAATCCTTTAAGTTGTTGTACTCGTTATGTTGTTCCACCCTTTATTAATTCGTTTATGTGCACATTCAAATGAATATCTTTATGCCTAATGTATAATGATGATTGTAAGCCTTTTGTAACAACGATATCTAATACTATTATCTACATGTTGTAAAGCGCTTTAGAGTAATTTTACAAATTATATAGGGCGATATATAAATGTTGTATATTATATAATATATTATACTCAGAAGGCGTAGGTAAACCGCGATACATTTACTTGTACTTAACGCTATACGAAGCATAAGGGCAACAAAAGAATGGGAACTCAGTATAAAAACACTACAGACCTAGGAAAATTATTAATGTATGTATCCTTAAGTGAAATTTTATAATGGATATCTCCCATCTAATGTTGATTTATTAATCTGATACCTTAAATTGCTATCAAGATATATATATATATTTGTAATAATTTGGCATACTTTGATTACTTGTATTAAGATAAATAAATTATCATTTTCGACAACACATATTTCTGTGTTATGACTTGCCAATAACATGGCAGTAAAATACATGTTTGCATCTACATATGTATGCACGCTTAACACGAATATATTAATAGGTCATTATCCCTTTGATACACACTATAGTATTACACCTTTTATGTACCGGTCACTTACATAATATGAACAAACTTTAAATCGAATAATTTTCAGTGCAATACCCAGACTTTTTCAATTCCGTTCATAACACGTTCTCACCAGGAAATGCTGTACCATAAAAGTTTTAGGGGTATAAATAAGAAAGATAGAGGCGAAGAAGGAGAGTGGATCTATTGAGGGTTTTTTTCTTTTCTTATTCCACATATCAACTTGTTGTGTGTTAGACGAATTGATTCAGTTTATCTGTTCTGGAATATTATTATACCAAAATGAACATTTTACGCATTGTGTATTCCTTCCTAGTCATAGAATGGTCTGTCCTGTTACCAAGGGGGTGCACGACCTGGTCAGGTATACTCGTAACAACAGTACATACTTAAGGATTCTCGTACCTCTGCAAAGACTCTTACTATGAATTGGAAACAATTTTACTACAAACAGACAAAGAATTTGATATTTTATTTCTAAAAAGGAGCTCTTACCTTTCAGAACTTAAAAAAAGTAGAATAAACTGACAAACAGAATTAAAAAACACAAAGGTCAAACCAAGAATGTGCCAATAAAAAAGTCAAATACTTAATGTTACTTCCAATGTTTTGAGATGACATATATTAATTAGAAGGTTTAGGTTGGGAGCAAATCTCTACCGCTGGACCCACCCATTACGCTTGAGTGCCCGTTGATTAGGTCACATCTATTTTATAGCGACACAAACGAACGTGACACTTGTATTTATAAACATCTAAGGTATGACAAAAACAGCGTTTAGATGATAACAAATATCTACAGCGTAATCAGAGTGTGCTATCCGGTGCTGGCACTGCGAGGTCGTCGTCCTTCATTTGTCTGCTAAATAAATATATAATTAAATGAAACGATGATTTCTTACATCTCGGTCAGAATGTAGGTCACAATGTCGATCGGCTAATGCACAATCAGTCGTACATCTTATCTAAAGTTCCGATGACGTTATATTTAAAAGTATTTTAAACGATATAACACAAACCACATCGCTATTAAGCATATAATGATTATCAACCATATTGTCATATCTACTCCTAAACCATCATACAATAGTCATGGGTCCAAACGCCTGGCTGTCCATAGGTTGGTTTTTATTTGGTTTAATGTCCTAAGGTAATTTAAGGTCAAAATCTCTGATTGTGTTTACCCTGGGTAGCAAGGTTTTATGTCTATACAAAGTTTATGAAAAAAATCATTTTTTGATAAATTTCCATCCCTCTGATTCCAAAAGCATTACGAAACATTCCTATGTATTTAAAAAGATAGTACCCATGTAAGTACTTCAGAAGTAGATCATAACCATTGTTTCTTTTGGCAGGAAATAAAGGTAATAAATTTTCAGGAAATGGGTTCTTCCTTAGATCAATCAATCCTGCATAAAAAATGACGTGGTGAAGTTGTCTGATGTTACATTTCGTTACATAAACATAGCAGCAAGCATACATGTACTAACTACGGTACCCAAACAATAATTACACTTATTCTTATGCCATTCTTTCCAAGCTTTTTAATTACAAGCTAAAGGTAAAACAGCTGAATTCAAATGACTATAGAATATCTCCCTTCGGCTTTGCTTTGCTCCACATCCCAATACAAGTAGGTTCGGATGAACACGTAGTTACTTGCGATCTTAATATTATCCATGATGCAAAGCTACGAGATCATTTCATGAAGGGCCCCAAGTATCGAGAGACTCACTATCAACTTGGATGAAAATTTCAAGATACTAATGAATGAATTCCATTGAAGACAAGGGCAAAACAATAGCTACTGATCTGATTCACTTTCAGATTGGGTCAAATATATCAGGACCATTATTCCTAAAATTAGTGACTGATTTTATATCTAAAATGAAAACAAAACAGAAGTCTGCATTTCTTTAACGCGGTGTCCAACCCACAGTCAACAATCTTTATGGTAGGTATGAAGTTGTGTCTGCAATTAAAGCATCTAACTACTTAATTGTTGTCTGCAAACACTATTATCTTGCCTACTTGTAAAAATAATAAAGTTTTTGCTTCATAACCAATGAAACCTACATAGAAACATTCCAAATGTTCAAAAGACAAATTACTAGCAAATCGCGACTCTGTACTACAATACCCATTCATAATTAGGATACGGACGTACTTCGTTTGTTTTGGATTCCAAAACTTCAAAAGAATACTTATAGAAAGTTTTATCACTACATTTTTCAGTTTATAAACCAAGTCATGATCAAAACTTCTCGCTTTCATTTTCAGTACCATCTAACCAGGATTAGAGCAGAATTTCGGCACCATATTCTAAAGAAGCGAAATATATGGAAGGTGGATATTGAAGACTTATAACATTATTTTGTTCAATCCTGAAAATCCTCCTTTCAAAAATATTTCTTTTTAAAAAATGTTTGCATTCCGACACTTTACCCTCCCTTACCTGACATCAAATTGAAATATACCGAGGATAAGATTGCGAGAATCATTGAGTTTCTGCTTGAAATAAACTTTTGTGAGTTTGGTGGCAAGATTTTCCGGCAGGCTGTAGACATTTCCATTGGAATGAACTGTGCCCCTCTTCCTGCCGATTCGTTTTTGATGTTGTATGGGGCTGAATTTCACTGAGTAGTGTTAATAATAACCTAGCTAAAGCCTTCAGTTTATATTGACAATGTGCTGTCTTCGAAAAATAAGAAAAGTAGAGACCACACCCTCCTGAGCTTGGAATCAAGAATTCGTCTGCACGGACGGCTTACTTGTAAGCTGTACGATAAGCAGGACAGTTTCCATTTTATGTGAACTTTCCTTCTCTGACGGTAACATCATTGTAACCTATCTATGGTGTTTGTGTGATGGACGCTGTTTTGGTAATGTTCTCTGGTGTGCCTTGCTTGTTTTGTTATCACCTTCCAGGTTCATGATGTGAGGAAGTGACATTACTTGGAGTTGACCTAAGTTTACGCGGTGGGTGTCGTCGATGACACAGAAAGGCTTATACTACCGGAACACCGTAAATTTCAAGGATCTTCATGTCAATCTGTCATTTATTAATGTTTTCCAATTGCTTAATCAATTTTGAGTTCGAATAATGGCTTTGTTGACATTTCATTATTCTCGTGTTGTTTATTTATTAAAG